ACAACCCTGACCGGCCTCTCGGCGTCGAGGTCGGTGCTCCAAGCCGTGATGTCGGCCTCGGCCTTCTTGTGGCCGACGCGGCTGGCCGCGGCGTGTACAATGAGCTCGGCGCCGGTCCGGGACTCGATGTCGGCGCTGACCCACACGCTGCGCATCGCGACCGGCACCATGGGCTCCGTCAGCCGTTCCGCCGAGGCTTGGAGGGCGAAGATGAAGGAATGCAGGATGCTGTCGAAAACGGGCGGGTGGATCACCGAAGCGGCGAGCGCGTGGCTCGGCATTGCCGCTGCAATGTCCGGGATGCGGACGGTGGCAAGCGACTGGCCGCTCGTCTTGTTGTCGTTGTTGGAGTTGGAGTGCATGCTGGCAACGTTGCGGAACAGGGACCCGAACCCGAGACCGATGCGCTCGAGCTCGGCGTACCGGCTCGGGAGAAGTTCCGTCTGCGACACGGCGCAGGCCTGCGTCACGGTAGACAGCAGCTCGCCGTAGTGGCGTTGGCGTTCCCTTGCCTCACGGCCGCCGTCAACCTCGCCCGTGGCGGTCTCGGCGACGGTCTCGGCGGCGATCTGCCCGCGGCTGTGCTCCAGCCAAGTGTCATCGTGGGCGCTGAAGGACGTGACCTTCCACTCCCACCATAAGCTGCTGTCTGACTGGCGCGATTCGGAGACGCGCTTCATGGAGAACATGGTCTCGGTGTGCTCGTCCTCGCTGACCTGCAGCGCCCTGGAGATGCTCACGTCGCGCAGGTTGAAGCCGAGCGGCACCTCGCCCTTGTCGCTGTACAGCTGGCGCACGGCTTCGATCGCCATCACCAGGTACGTCACGCCGGCGATGATGATGCTGTCAGTGACCTTGTGATCCCGGAGCCACGGGACCTCCGACACGCGGAGGTGGTTGCGCCACCTCGGGGCGTCCGGGTCCCAATCCCGAACGGGAGCCCCGAGGATATCGTGCCGGGCATGCTTGCGGAACCGCCACGCGCGGCTGGTACGTGATTCCAACCAAGAATACGTCTCCTTTGAGTGAAGGAAAGGGTAAGGGGGAAGATCCACGAGCATGGCCTCGCTTCCGCCGCCGTTGTTGTTGACCTTGGCCAGGTCGATCGGGAGGCCTGCCGCGGCCAGCGTGCCAACTGCGTGCAGCGTAGTGGCGCACGCGTGCTTTCCGCGGGTCAAGATGGACACATATCGCAGGGCCTTGTGGTTCGGGTCGTTGAGGACGGCGTCGCGGGCAGCCGCCTGCAGCGCGCCGTGAGGGCCGATCTCGACGAGATGCGACACAGGAAGCTCGGCGCCGCCGCCGACCTTGAGCTGCTTTTTGGCGACGTTGGAAGTACACAAGGCCACAAGCGCCTGCGAGAACCGCACCGGAGATACGAGGTTCTGCACCCAGTAGTCGGCGTTGGTCATCTCGCTCGCCGCTATCAGACCTCCTGTGACTGAGGACACGACCTGCACGCCGGACGACGACGGCATCCGGCCAACCGCAGGAGCAGGAGCAGCCCGGAGCGTGCCCATCAGCGACCGGTACTCGTCGGACACGGGAACCATGTGGCGCGAGTGGTACGCCTTGGCCACGCGCAGCTTGCGCGCGAATAGCTTCATGCCGCTCGCGGCTTCCACCAGGGCGTCCACCTTGGCCTCGTCTCCGGAGATAGTGAGGCTACGGGGCGAGTTGTAGCAGGCGATGACCAGCTCCCCGTCGGCGCCGAGTTTCTCATTGACCTGAGCGATGAGAGGGGCCACCTCTTCGGCGGTGCATCCGACGGCCATCATCGCGCCGCGCGTGTTGTCGGCCGCGGGCCTGGCGCTGACGACACCACGGTAGTAGGCGACCTTCCATGCCGACTCGCGATCCAGAGCACCCGCGGCGTACGCGGCCCCGATCTCGCCGCTCGAGTGCCCAACCACACGCTTGGGCGCCAGGTTCCAACTGCCCAGCAGATCAACCAAGGCGACCTGTAGCACGGTGCATAGCGTCTGCGAGTACAAGGGCTGGTCGATCTTGGTCGTCTCGGCGCTGCGCTGCGTGAGCTCCTCCAGCACGCTGAATCCGCTGCCGAGCGTGCCTGTGATGAACCTGTCGGCCTCGGCGACGCTCGCCCTGAAGACGTCGAAGACGAGAAGCTCGCGGCCCATGGCAAACCACTGTGCGCCTTGGCCGGTGAAGATGAAGGCCGCGGCAGGCGTGCTGGCTTTGCCGGGACGGACAGCGTTGGTGGTGATGATGGTAGGATCGGTGAGCGCGGCAAGGAGGGACGTGGCCGAGTCGGCGGTGACGGCGAGGCGCCAGGCCAGGCGTGAGCGCCGCTCCGAAAGGGTCATGGCGAGCCTGGAGAGGTATGCGTCGTCCATCTGGCATGTTCCGTTGTCTCCGTCTCCAGCCTGCTTCTTCTGCAAGTGCTCCGCGAGGCCGGCGACAACCCGCGAGATGCCTTCTTGATCGTTGGCGGAGAAGAAAAAGACCTTGTGGCCGCCTTCTAACGCGGCCTGCTGCGACGAGGTCTTGTCCTTGCTGGGGCTTTCGAGTGCCGCCAATGTTCCCGATTTTGTTGCATGTAAGTCGCGCCGCTTACCCAGACCCAACCTGTCTAGATAGCTCTTCGCATCGTCCAGCACCACGTGAGCGTTGGTGCCGCCAAAGCCAAAACTGTTGATACTCGCCCTCCGGACCCCCGAGGGCCCTGCCTCGAACGGTGTCGGAACCAGGGGCAGCTTGAGGCCCCATCTGTCGATGGGTATCCTGGGGTTGATCTTTTCAAAGTTGGTGTTGGGCGGTATCATCCCGTTTTCCAACGCCAAGACCGTCTTGATGACTTGGGCCATGCCGGACGCCGCCTCGACGTGGCCAATGTTCGCCTTGACAGCACCCACGTACAGCGACGGCCTCTCGGCCGCCCTCGGTCCGGGTCCGGCACGCCGGAAGACGGCGGCGATGGCGCTGGCCTCGATCGGGTCGCCGGCCGGTGTGCCAGTGAAGTGGCCCTCGAGGAAGCCGGTGTGGTCTGGGTCGAGGTTGTTGCGGGCGTAAACGTCCCGTATGAGGCACTCCTGAGCCGCTTTATTGGGCAGCGTGATGCCGCCGGTGCCGCGGCCGTCCGAGTTGACACCCGTGCCGCGCAGCACGGCGCGGATCACGTTGCCGTCGCGGATGGCCGCCGACACGGGCTTGAGGATCAGCGTGCCCACCCCCTCGCCGCGGCCGTAGCCGTTGGCGCGCGCGTCGAGCGAATAGCACTTGCCATCGGGCGACACCATGCCGAGGCCGCTGGCGCGGAACATAAACTCGGGGGACTCGATTATGTTGACTCCGGTGATTATAGACTGTTTGGGGTTGGTACAACATCAGTTTGATGTGCTTGGGCGGATTGCATGGTTGACCGCCGCCATGTCTGCTCCAATGGAAGGATCCTGGGGACATTACATACCATATCGCTGAGCCCGGCGCGCAGGTCCTGGGCCCCTGTGTGCAACGCCACGATGCTGCCTGAACAGGCCGTGTCCAGAGTGAAGCTGCTGCCTCTCAGGTCGTAGAACCAGCTTACCCGTGCCGCGAGGATGGCCGCACTGGTGCCGATTGGCTTATACTTGACAGACAAGTCTGGGTCTTCTTGCAGGATGGAACGCACGTCGTCGGTGAAGACGGCCGCGAACACGCTGGTTTTGCTTCCTTTCACGTCTTCGAGTCGGAGGCCCGCGCTCTCCATTGCCTCGTAAACATTTTCCACTAGAGAGAGGTTTTGGGTGGTAAGCCTTGTGATGATGTTTACAGTCTTATTCTTTCTTTTGTCTTTTCTTCCTCCAAGAGGTTTGTTTGCAGGCAAACTCCCCCCGAACTCATGCACTTGGGTTTACACAAATCACATACTGACTATCCGCTGCTGGAGATCCATTGTTTCTGTCTCTCTGCGGGTGATGTTGAAGAAGGCGGCGTCGAACTGCTTGCCGTTCTGCTCGCCGTCGCGCAGGAAATGCCCGCCCTTTACCGTGTTGCTCCCCGCGCGCTCCTGCGACGGATGGTAGTGTGCGTCCTGGTTCCATCTCGATGCCGGGACTTCAGACCAGGCCGACTTGCCGTCCATCAGCAGATCCCATAGTTTCGAGGGACTCGTGGCGTCGCCCGGGAAGCGGCAGGCCATGCCGATGATGGCGATGTCCTCGTCGAGGCCCTGAATCGTTGACCCCATTGTGTCGTCTTGTTGATGTGGGAATATAGTTTATACAGGAGGGTGAACAACCAAGGTAGCTGGCTGGGTACGGAAGGGTATGAATAACTTGTATCCAGCAGTCGAAACCTGGGACATCGTACTTCTATGAAATTAGACGGAAATCGGGTGTTAGACGTGATTCCCTTCACGTTGAATCGACCAACCATCCGGCATGTAGTGATCCCTTGTCTGTAATGGGCCGCGTTAGCCCAAATGCCCCTCATTCAAACAACCCCCCGCATTGGAACGACGTTGAATTTCCTCATCTTCAAAGCAGTGTAGCCAAAACTCCACAGCTTCAACGGTCTAATGAAAGATAAACCGGTCTCGGGCCTTCTCCCACACATGACCTCAAAGGTCCGGGTTCAACTGACCAATAAGATCACTTACAACTAAACCCCCCTTCAAATGCAACGCATCCTGAATCGCCAAGCCCCACGGGCACTAGCGGATAACCGATAAAATGCGGTCCTTCAAGGCACCCTGGGCCGACTACTTCTCGAATGTGGGCAGCACTCCGCACCATATTATCACGGCACTGAGTGCTCCATGCAGGTGGGGGGCTGTCACGGCTGAAGGAGGCGTAGGAGCATTCAAGACCGCGCATGTGGGCTGCTGTAGTGCATCAGAAGAGGGGAGAATGGAGGGGGGGTTGTTTATCAAACAACTATTTGTATCTGTTACATAGCGCCTTCATGCTCTGTCAAGGCCTTCATATCCCGTTCTTGCCCTTGCCGGTTATTTGGGTGTTCTGCTAGGCTTTCGACGATCAAGTCGGACTCACGCCACAATGCTGTCCGCAGAATGGTTCATGCCGCCGCAGGCACTGGTGCCGGCGGTGGTCCTGATCGTATACCTAGTCTACAACTACTTGATCTTTCCAACCCCTCGTTCAATCGCCAAATTGAGATTCCTCAACGTCGAGCCCGGTACATGGGCGCCGTATTATCGGGCACTCTACCGCAACACCTTGGACTTGAAAAAGACGCTTCGCCTGCACCACACACAACACAAGAATGAGACGGTCCGCGTCCCCATCCTGGGCCCGGGCCAAAACAAGCTGATCCTGCTGCCCTCTGCCGAAAGAAAATGGCTCGTGGATCAGCCCGACTCCATCGTGAGCATGCACGACCAGACCATCAACCACTTCCAATGGGATCTTGGCACCATTTATCCCACTCGGGATCACAACCAGGTGACCATCCACATCATAGCCACCAAGCTCACCCGGGAGATCGGCAACCTGATTCCAGCCCTCTCGGACGAGCTTGACCTCGCCCTGGCGAAGCACTGGGGCGACGAAGACGACGGCGAGTGGAAGGAGGTGGGCGTTTACGACACGCTGAGACCCATCATCAGCCAGGCAATCAACCGCATCTTCATCGGGAAGAGACATTGCCGAAACGAAGAGGTGCTCGAAACCGGCTTCTCGTACGCAAAGGTCATTCCTCTCGAGGCGAACCTGCTCTGGCTGCTTCCGACCCCGCTGCGTCGTCTCCTGGCGCCTCTGCTTACCTTGCCATCCCGCTGGTGCGAGAGGAAATGGTTCAGGCTCACAATCGACGAGGTTCGCAGACGGTTGGAGGCCAGAGGCCATCCGCAACAACACGGCACGGGATCCGCGACTGCTGGCTGGCAAGACGATGAAGAAGCAGACGAACCCGACCTGCTGAGCTGGTACATTGCGTACGGAGAATCCCAGGGCGACCCGTACCTCCTGGACCCGGAAGTCCTCTCGGCGCGCATCTTACTCCTCAACGCCTTCGCGCTGCACACCAACGTCTTCGCCATCGTGCACATGATCCTCGACATTGTCGGTTCCGGCGCCGAACAGGGTCCAAAGATTGTGGCCCAGCTCCGTCAGGAAATCAACGAGGTCCGCGCCGCCGACGGCGGGCAGCAGCAAGGGTGGGACAAACGATCGCTGGCCCGGCTCGAGCGGATGGACAGCAGCTTCCGGGAAAGCCAGCGCGTCAACACCATCTTGAGCCTGGGCCCGCTGCGCATCGTGGGCAAGGACGGCGTCACGACCCCTTCCGGCGTCCAGATCCCGCGCGGCTACCAAGTCGGAATCCCGGCGTACTCGATCCACTTTGATACTGACATCTACGGGCCGGACGCGGAGGCTTTCAACCCGTTTCGCTTCTACGATAAGCGAAAGGATGCGCGAGGGGCCGGTGACAACATCAAAGGAGCGAGGCAGGCATGGGCCACCACGTCAGCCGACTACTTGTCCTTTGGGGCCGGGCTGAACAGCTGTCCCGGACGTTTCTTTGCCTCTGGGATGTTAAAGGTGCTGATGGCCAATATCCTGCTCAAATATGACTTTGAGTTCCAAGAAAAGAGAGCAGAGAATCTATGGTTTGGAACAAACCACATACCGCCGCTCAAGGCAAAGATTAGAATCAGGAGGAGACAGTGAATTTGCAAGACCAGACTAGCAAAGTCTATTTTCCGCAATACTACATAGTACATCCTACGCGTACACGCCCGACCCAACCAGGACCTTAGACGCAGTTCCACAAGTCCATCTCCTTCCAGTTTCACCCACTGAAATTTAAATGACAGCGGTCTATGGAAACATTCAGGCATGGACGATGGATACCATTATCTTGACGTCTTCCAAGACGTACGAAGTACACATGGATTGCTAGGCAGGGGTAGGCCTGCCAAGTCTCCCGGACTCCCCAGAGTCCAGATTAATCCATGCAGCTTGATTCCCCATTTTCCTGCTTGGGAAACTCCAAATTCCCTCCCCACGGGCAACATCTCCCGACGGGATAAGCCATGAATCATGTCATCCTCCGCTCTGCTGTACTTGTCCTGTCACACGTGGTCTTGCGATGTGGGCTTTCTGACTCTCTAATCCACCGTATGGAGCGGCAAATGCGTTTGCGGTCAAACAGCCGCTTATTTCGCTGTTTTTCTTCATCCGGTTTTTCGGCAGTCTCGTATGTAACCTGTATCCTTGTAGTTTGCTATCACGAATGAGACCATGGTGGATCACAGGGTAAGGGCTGAATGCTGGGGGCATTCTGGCAATCGAACACCCCCTGCAGACTCGAGTCAAGTCCGTTCCTCAGTGCAAGGCGAGAGAATACATGGGTACTGGGTAATAGGTCTTATGTCCTAGGGTCGCCATTCCCTGCCGTAAGGTTTTATTTGCCATCGCGGCACAGGCAAACAAGCTGATTCAAGTGTAGTACTCTAACTTGTCGTGTATGAGTTATAAGCTTAAAACCTTGATACCTTTGGATTGCTTGGCAATTACCATCCTCAAAAGCAACAAAGTCTTCTCCAAATATTGGTCTTGCCAGTGTCTAAAGATGCCTATACGAATTTTATGTCTGCACGGCAGGGGTTCCAACACCGAGGTGAGCGATTTTCATTTGTTTGGCAGCGCAGAAACTACACCACCATGAATGACTAATGCTTCGTCGTCCTTGTAGATTTTCCGGATGCAGACGGCTGGCATACGAAGCTTGCTGGAGCCAGAATACGAGTTTGAATTTGTAGAGGGCCGATGGCCCCATTTGGAGGGGAACTGGTCTCTGCACACAGTCGACTTTTCAAAGTCAAATGTAAGCATTCGGGGCTCAATCTGATTGAGGCGCTGGGCCTGAAAGTCTTGCCAATTTTTCTGCTTGCCAAAATGCCTACCTTAATCTGGCCTCAGAAAAGAAGAGATTGCTAACAACTACCGTGATAACTTGCGCTTTAGCTGTATGGATTTTACAACATGCTGGACATCGATGACATTCTGGCCACTGAGAGCGAGCTGCGTCAAGTGATAGAGGACCACGGTCCTTTCGATGGTTTGCTGGGATACTCGTAAGTCGGCGGAAACTCTCTATTTATCGAAAGAGATGGATCGGAATGATGAAACCATCACAATTGGTGCTTTCGCCCATGGGAAAAAGTCTAACTTGAACCAGCCAGGGTGGATCGATGGCTGCTCAAATCGCCATCCGACTTCTAATGGAGAACCCATACGCCACTCCACAGGAGTTACCGATCAAGTTCCTGGTGCTCATCAACAGCGCCGTGCCGCCTTTCATCATGCCGTTGGATGAGCAAAAGGTCACGGACCTGCCGATTGAAGAGGCGCCAAAGCTGCGGATGCTGTTCGATGTCTTCAAAGCAGATCCCGCCGAACACCTGGACAAATTGCGGCCAGCGAAGCTCGCCAATGGTAGACAGGTATGCATATGAAGACTGGTCGACTTTGATTGAAATGCACGGTGCCGGCTGACGATATGAAAATCGACCTCTCCAGGCTCTCGTGAATAAAACGCACTACATGACCTTTTTTGACAACACTTGGGATGGCCACCCACTCTACATGCCATCGCTGCACATCACCGGCCTGGGCGATGCCCCCGAATACGGCCAGCAGCTGTTTGACATTGCCGAACCCAGTGAAGCGGAGCAAATTAAGCATGTGTTTGGGCACGACTTTCCAAGAGGGCTGGATATGAACAAGACGATTGCTAGGGCGATAAGGGCGATGGCAGAGAAAGCTCTATAAGAGGATTGAAATGAGAACTTTCGCAGCATCATTCCATACACGTTACTAGAGTATATCCAGTATAAATCCAATACCACTCCACCTATACGCCTAGGCAACAACTTCTACCCATACCTAATCGTGAACTATTCATTCACTCGCAGAGTCATCTGCAGCCAGGAGCCCAAACTCGGCAACCGTTGCCCCGGCACCATCGTTAGTCCAGCAGCCTGTAACCTCGAGTTTCGCAAATGCGCCACTCCAAACGGGGTCGGTGAGCGGGATGGTGGTAATGTTTCCTACATATCTCACCACCGGCGAGTCCGGGACCCACGGCTTCGTGATGCTGATATCTTGATCCGCTAGTACCATCTCGGACTCGAAATCCGAGCTATTCGAGACCGAAACCTTGACGTGCTTTGGCGGCCGCATGGCAAAATCCAGTCGGATAGCCTCCAGAAGCCGCGGCGCCTGGGAAACTCCCAGGTCCACTACAACAGCGGCCGTGGCATCGCATGTACCGGGCTGCCAAAAGGTGCCTCCGTATCCGTCAGTGGCTGCAAACGCTAGCTCGCCATGCGACGAGGTTGCGCCGTGACATTGCAAGATGTTGCCCGGGACAGAAATTGCGGCATCATACAGCCTGTTCTGTATTACAACCGTGTCATTGACGCGCAATAATACCGTCCGCGCGTTGGGATCGTCCACGTCTCGGCCGACGGTGATGGGCATGTCCTCCTTTCCGTACTGGTCCGGCACCAAACCGTCGAAATCAGACGCGTCGCGCCGCGTAATAACAGTATGCGTGCGATTCATGCGAAAGCTAACGACGGCGCCATTGTAATACTGGATGGGTGGCTTGAAGTTCTGGAGCTGCGGAGGGAGGGACGGGTTTATCACCAAATTTCGCTGCGTAACGCGTAAGCCGAGGAATCCCGCCGTGAATGTCTGCAGGAGGCCGCCGTGGCCGGTCAGGAACGGAAAAGCCGGGTTAATGGGGTTCCCGGTCAGAGGATCCAGGACTCCGGGCTCGTCGTCTTGCTGTTCGGAATACTGGTACCAAGGGCCGCGGATATAAGGCTGGAACGATTTGACTAGATATGTCCAGAACGCGCATCCAGAAGTGGCCAGGGAGTTGGCCGTGATGGCATACATGCTCCATGTCATGGCCGGGCCGTGGGGATCCGTGCGGACTGCGTAAAAGTCCATCGCAGCTCGGTATTTGGCGAGCGAGAAATTCCGTCTGTAGTCGTAGGGATAATGGGACAAGATAACGTCTGCCTGCTTGGGGAAGACATCGTTGGTCATGCCCTGGAATTCAAGCACAACGTCGTCATCCGAAGTGGGTATTGACATGTGCTCGAGCTGGTCAAGCCAGTCGGTCTCGGGCGGGATGCCCCGTTCATGACGAGCCTCGGAGGCGAGTTGTAGGAGAGTGCTGACTGCAGTACTAGTAAATGAACCGTCTGCAATCCACATGTAGTATTCGTCGGCATCGGCCATCACGTCGATGCCCCAGACACCCGTATCCTCTCGTCGTGTTAGTATATCGCTTAGGCCCACGGCTACACCGTCGATGACGTCCACAGCCCCGTGCTTTTCAAACCAATTCTTATCGCCGCTTGTGTTCCGGCCCATGGTCATGCTCAAAGCGATATCAGCATTGAGGTGGTACTGGTACATGATGCAGGGTGCAGACATGTTGTAGCATTGCCCATATCGACCGCTTGTCCATGCATAGAGCATGCTGCCAGCTTTTAGATTATGCCTCTTTGTGTTTTTTCGAGACTGATCTGCCCGATTAATGCGATACAGCGCAAACTGTCTCGCCAACTTGGGGTGCACTCCTTGGATGGCGGGCGCCACGAAAAGATCAGCGTCCCAGAAAATCTTGCCTCCGTACGTCTGGGAAACCAGGCCGCCGACGGAAAGAGAGTTGCACGCAATGCAAGTGCTTGGGCTCTCGTCACGCGTCGGGCTCCATGGGATCAGGCTCGTGTAAAGATAGTAAGCAGAGGAGATGGCTGTGATCTGCAAGGCTTTTACCACGTCGCCGCCGCTGTCAAATGGAAGCGATCCCGTCACTGGATCTCTAAAGTCAGCCACAAAGTCTGCATTCATGAGCTTGCCCACTTCTGCGCTATGCTCCTCGCGTAAGACATGATATCCGCGCTTTATGGCAGATGACAAAACGTCTGAGACCACTGTCTCTGTGTCCGACCCATAGTGCTCTGTTGAGGCAATAGCTGCGTATTTGTAAATCGTTGCGGACTGTAAACCGGGTTGTACCCGATACCGCTGCGTTGAGGAAACGTTTTCGGAGTCTGTGTAGGATGAGTTGGCTGAACCCGATGTTGCTGCGTTATCGAAGGCGGAAAAAAAGTCGCTGGAGTATTCGTCCTTGCTCTCAAGGCACAACAACTCGTTTCCAAGCGTCGACGACAGCACATGCGCCACGACATGGTCGACTGTGTCTGGTGAAACAGCAGAAAAGACCTGACTGCTGGCTTGGTTCACACCTTTCTTGGCCGTTCTCGTACGCAAAGCTGACTTGTGGTCTAGTGAATCGAGAATGTACACGCCGTCGAGGCCCTGCTCGCTGGATATGACCAGTTTCACAGCTGCCAGACGTCTTTCTGCTAGCGAGGCCAAAGATTCATAGGATACCCGAAATTTCCGGTCGTCTGCGCAGGTTGGAGGGCTCCAGACATACGACCATGTGAGTATTCCCGTCTTACTGGTAGCAGAGTATATCAAATTAGTGCCCATACTCTTCTGCTTCGTGGAACAGCCTGTGCGCCCACGCTCACTTACAAAGACAGCGTCGACTCGAACTCGGTGATCTCGGATACGTCTACATCTCCATTGAGGGCACTTCCACATGCTTCAACGAGCAGATCGGTAAAGTGAGGCACGCCGGAGATGAAACTCTCGCCCAGCTCCCCCGGCTCAAGTGTACTAGGCTTGCTGCCCCAAAAGCCCGTGACAGTGGCGAAAGTTGTTCGAGGCTTGCTGTAAGACGGCCATCCTTCAGAATCATTTCGACGGCTACGCTCATAGAATGGCCCCAGAGAACCTTGGGCGAGGCCAAAATAGCTATTCAAGACATTGCATGTACTTATCAGCTCCCGTACACAGCACAACAGGAGCGAACTGCGCCGTCGACACCCATGATGTTGAAAGATTATAGTTTACATACCCGTTTGACTGTGGCAACCATGCAGTGAATACCCCTGGCAGTGGCTTGGTAGATTTCAGAGTCCATGCAGCATCATCCCAAGACACCCAATCCGCGTTGATGTCAAAGCTTGCACTCGAGGTTGGTGCTCCTCTAGCTACGCGCAAGGTGGACACACATACTAAGAGTAAGGCTGGGAGGTTCATGGCGGGCATTCGAGGTCTGACGAGCCCAGCATTGCAAGTCAAAGGTTGTGTGGATCCTGCCTATCTCTGATGAGTCGACCAGGTGAAAGTAGCGCCGAGGTGATGCATGAGAATCGGACGTCGATGGAGCTGACGGCTGGGAGAATATAATAAGCGCGTTACTATTGTAGTGCCTATCCCATTCTATGTAATCCACCTCAACCCACTTCTCCTGTCACATCGGCCCATGGGGCATATGCTTCCCCCTCACCCCCTACGCCACGCGCGGGTTGCGAACGCCCCAATCCCAAGGCAAAGATATCACACGAGCGAAGACAGATTTAAAGTTCGGGGGTTATGGGGCATGTGGGGAGTAGATGTGGTTCCTAGACCGACATTCTGAGGGACGTACTATGTACACGTACATGTTATTTGCGTACGCATACGAGTCAAGACAGTGCGCTAAGCTTGAAACTATGTTTCACGCAGAATGGGGCTCTGATTGTGGGAATATGCATCTAAGTGTTGTGAGTGTAAAGAGTATTGCTTGCAGGCGGGCCTAAAACTACCTATAGGAATGTAGCATTTCACATAATTTTCTGAGGACTGATGATTTCATATTTGTCACGAAGAAGAGGCCTAACGTGTGATGTGTGTTCAATAAGTTCGCTGAACTTCATGGCGTCTCCTCTAGTTGAAGGTGGCCTTGTTTGAAATGTGTCGTTTTGACGTCTTTCCAGCTCAACCAGCTCCTACGCATTGAGTCGCTAGCCTTTTGCGTACGGAATCGCTTCTCTAAGTATTAAATACGTGGTCAAAACTACGATGTTCATTCTTAAACACCGGAAAATAAGTGGAAGCGGAAGGAAGAAACTTATTTTATCGGTGTTCCCGAATCATTCAATTCCTCGCATAGTTACGAGCCAGCCACTTTTTGCATCTCGCGATATGAGAGGCTTAGCTGGAAACCCAGAATTGACACACCTGCATAGAAGCAACATCTGCAGACAGACAGCTCCCCTTCGTCGCCGCATTCACAATTATCGCGGGCGGTTGTCCGAGTGGCGCTGCATGTGTGGTTTGGTTTGAACTTGACACTGGGGACTTCATTGTGCCAGAGTACTATAATGAGTCAATCTTGGCGTCATTCCGGTGGCGGCGACTCCGCCAGCTTTCGTGATCATATTAATCCCAGTGAAGGTTGTGCAGGTCAAAAGATTATTTTGCTGCAACATGCGGTCCCAAGCTGGAGGGCAGTCTGAAGCCTAAGATAAGGTTCTTGTGCTGACTGTCGTCAGACGTGGAGTCGGAACTCTACCTTAGTCTAATACTATGTATAATTGTCATAGAATCCGGCACCTTGGGTATATTGCTCATTATTCAAGTCTAGAATCTCCTTAGACTCAATCAGGAATCTCCCAGTTGAGCTACAACCCGGCAGATCGCCTCAGGTGAGCACGTCCATAGGATGTCTTCAATATAATGAAACATACCCTGATAACAAGAAGAACACATCACTACGCAATACACCTATTTGCAGTAATCCCAGAAATCGACGAGTTCGTTTTCAAAATTGTCACAAAACATGACGCACGCAAACTCTTCAAGAAACCTTCAATTCAATTGGCCCGAGGATGACACTTCTGTCGGGTCAGCGACTCCCTTGGAATCTGTCGACCAAGCAAGCTCATCACGATGCCAAATGCCAATCCGCGAGAAGTCGAAGAAATGTCTCATATCCCGTCCCCAGGTGATAGTCAATGTTTTCGACAACGGGGGCCCTAGTTCGGGTGGCTCCTGCGCAAGCGGTTCAGGAAAAGATAGCTCGGGAACGGACGATGCAGCCTCCATTCAACCTGGAAACAGCGGGAACGACGAGAACATCATAAGTAGGTTAACAAGTCAACTGGCCGCTTTGTCGAAGAAAGTTGAGCAACTTTCCTTACAAACGTCAGAGCGGACAGTTGTGGTTGAAAGGGGTTCTTGGAACAATATCAACCGTCAACATGACCTGGCCGGCAAGCTAATGGTACTGGGGACTAGAGAGTCAGAGCGTGAAGGAAACGTTCAAGTCGATTCCGTTGGTAACAGTAAGCTTGCGTTCTTTGGATGCGTCGAGATGCGGAAAGTACAAAATACAACTGCTAGCAAGGGAGGCTGACGTGACGGGCTTCACTGTTGTCGCGTCCGTCTGGGCGGAATCGGGGCCATTGTTTTGCGGTGTCTCGTGGATAGCGATTGGAGACTGACTTTAAGGGGATAGATATTTGCTGAATATCCTCGAAGCGGCATCACTTTGGACCTGATGTTTGAACGCAGTTTTTATTAGCGATCCACTAGTAGCTGCTGTTCTCAGCTTCCGTCATCATACTCCAGATACACTCAAGTCATGCGAGGCTTTCCATATTCAGTCGAGATGGTCTCGAAGAAGTTTCATTACAATGGTAGAAGTAGACAAACATGGCTTGGTTTGACAGGGAGCTCGAACGACCGGGCTAGAACCCAAATCATATCAAGACTCTGCACCAGGATTACAGAATAAACGTAGAAAAGAAAGAGCTGATTGAGACCGAACCTTGGTTTAGATATTCTAGACCCAAATTATATGCCTGGTAGTCTACTAACAAACTTCATCCGTATTTTCCGTAGTCTCAGGCGATCTGCATCAGACGGGCGGTTTAAATCTACCATCCTAGTTGTCTATACATGTAATCTTCCATCACTCAGGCTCGGGGCGAACTCACAAGTGAAGATAGATATTAGAGTGATGATGTCCAGAAGCTGCAAGAGGGCATATATGTCGAAACGGCACCTTCGACCTTCTCGTACTCTACGGGCCTGACCTCACCTATACTTGAACCAGATTTGTGATGCATCTACCGAAAGCCCGGATGCTAATAACGCTTGACAGGCGAGTCACGACAGTGACAGGAGGTTGCACTTATTTCAACCCAAAGGATACTACAACGGCCCGGAGGGACTAGAGACCTTTCAAGCACCTCAAATCCTATCAACCAGGTGGTTGGGTTACTGCGAAAGAGAGCGTTTGAGCCAAAATAACACCACAGAGCCGGTGCAGCATAACTGATACAAGTTTCTATTGCTGTCTGCTCAATCGCCCCTATTCCATCGCCGTAGAAGATACTCAGCAATTTCAATCTGATCGGGGTCCTGTACGGACTCCGACGATGTTAGAAGCTCGTCCAGGGTTGCACTTGCCAAGTTCCCCACGTATCGCATTCCCTGTCGAGAAGATGGGGAAGAGCCGACATTAGCAACACCAATGAATTTCGCCTTGCTGCTCGTCCATAAACCTTCTTCTTCACAGACGATGCAAGCAATTAGACGATTCATTGCTAATCTAACAGTCTGAGCAGTCTCGGCAGGTAGCGCTGTAGCTGTCGTGTTTCATCTCCAGCTATGCGCGACTCATGAGATCACTTTTATAATAGACATACTTAGTTTTCGTTCCGTACCTTAGGTAGCAGTCCTTGATCTATCATAAAAAAGAGCTACCATTGACATTTTTGGGGCTTGGTTGAAAGTATGGCTACCTATGTGGAGCCGAGATCCTCGACTATCCGGGGAGCTACGGATACCAAGCCCCAAAGCATTCCACGATTAGGCCGGGGCAAATACCCACTCCCCCGGCCAAGACATGTTGCAGAAAATCGATTACGTACTCGGCAGTTCGGTTAAGCATACCCTGCGCCTTGCTAACGAATTATGTGGCAAGTTCAGTTCAGCTTTTCTGGATGCCGTACACACTGGGACTTTCGCACACTCTCTCGTCAGCAACAACGTTGCATTCGCATCACTTAGAGAAACGGCAACATTGGAACCCCGACTGACTTAAGGAAGCAAGACAGACACAGCGGCTTGCATGCAACGCCTGCCATTACTTTGATAAAGCCCGGGAAGGTTGATTGAAACGGTGGCTTTGGCAAGGCCAACCCAGTGCCTGCGCTCTGTGGGAATTCCTCTTTGAAGAGCATCGTCCGTTTCGCAGATCCCTTCCGTTTTCATTTCCGTCATACTGAGTTGCGATGTCGTTCTCATTGCCATCCATACCCTACCCGCCTTCTGGGGATGGCGTTTGGAATCCTGTGACGGCAACCATAAACTGGTGTGAGGAAGTAAGCTTTCGCTATCATCTGTTGCTTTTCTTGGAGATGCATCTCCGGGCGGTGATGTATCCGGTGAAGCTGATCAGTGTTCTCAGGACTACTACGTCTCACCATACGTGGCTGAGGTTGTAAATACTTTCACAAATGCCATTTTCGTCTACTTGGCATTGGTTGGAATTTCCAGCTGTGTCAGAAACAAGCACCCTGGTGTGTTTCTCGTTGCATACATCGGCTACATGATAATCGGTGTGGCCAGCATCTTCTACCACACTACCTTGAAGTGTTCGTTGCGCCCGGGGACTCTGACTACGACAAGACTGACAAATGGCAGACTGGATGCAACTGTTCGACGAGCTGTCTATGATATACACCACATGCATCCTTTTCTTTGCAGTGTTTTCCCATGGCAAATCTACCCCAGGTCAGGCTCTGCTCGGCTTCTTCGTCACCAGCTTAGCGGTCTTCATCACCGGTTACTACCACTATCTCGGCGACCCGGTGTTCCACCAAGTCATGTTCGGCATTCTCACTGCCACGGTGGTGTTTCGAAGCCTCTATATCATGGAGAAGATCCTGCGGCCCAGATCCAAACCTCAAAGCAAGTCTGAGCACCTTGATGTAGACCTTCTCAAGACGATGTGGACCCTGATTACATGTGGTCTAAGCGCCATAGCAATCGGCTTCCTGGCATGGAATCTTGACAATATCTTTTGCTCACAGCTGCGTGCCTGGCGTCGCGAACTTGGTTTGCCTTGGGGCGTGCTTCTTGAAGGTCATGGATGGTGGTAAGTTTTGCAACCCAGTTGTCTCGAAACTGACAAGACGCTGACAAAAGGAAAGGCATTTGTTCACCGGCATCGCTTGCTACATCAATGTAACGTATGGGCTCTGGCTACGTTACTGTCGCGATGGCAAGAAGCGAGAGGTTGTACTAGTCTGGCCCTCAATGTTTTGTTCCGTCCCTACTGTAGAACGTATTCGACCGACAGGCAAGGGTTCGGCGAAGTTCAATGGGAAAACGGAATGATCTACAGCTGCAAATATTAGAAGGCACGCCTGCATCACGGAGACACAGGCTATGGCTATAGGAACTTTCTTACTAGATCTCAAGCCGGCAGAATTTGCCACGAACAGCTACACTCATGCTTCACATCCCGAGTGATGAGATGTCGATATGCTTAAGTAGCAAGTGCCGCACTGTCTGTTAGCAGCATGGGCCTTGGCGACTTCATAAGAAAGGACTTGCAGCAGATTTATTCAGGTGGTTGGCGTCTATTGCTTGGAGGTCAATTGACCAAAGAAGGACTGTCTCCTGGCCAGTAGTAGGGTTTTACCATGATTCTTTGTACGAGTTTTCTCGGCAACCTGTTTATTTTGGCCCTTCGGACCCGTCAGCATCAGCAGATTTTGTTGTCTCAGCCCTCGTTCGCTCCGAATCCAGATGGCCCACCACAGCACATGCCACCTTTGTTTGGGCCTGCCGCCAAGTAAAAAAGGTCGGCCTGTCGCTGAAACTACGGCATTGTATTAAGGGGCCTGTATGCCAAGACATACAGCAGGGTAGTCTATCAGGATATGTCGTCTTTAAGGTTTAACTACCCGTTCCAGATCTTTTTACAGAACGTAGTAACCAACCAAGCGTGGAAGATGGCACTAAATATCTTGTCAAAGCACGTGTGATCGTGCATCACAGCCACAGAACCCACCTCCCGTGTCGTAAGGCCAAGACTAGGCGCGAAAATATCAGCTTCGTACGCCTTACTCTATGTAAAGACCGAGGCCATCGGCCTTTGGGTCCGAAAGAGCCCACCAGAACACATAATCGCACTGCGAGCGAAGATATGATCGACGGGCCACTCTTCTCCTGAGAATTCATGCAGAAAGGTGCAGTCTTCTATTGATAGACCAAGTCAATTCCTGTGCCAGCCATATTCCGGCCAACCCGTGTTTGAGACCCTCCCATAGCACTGCCGAGCAGAATTGTCAGCTTTAGGGGCACACTTGACTTGTCATTTGTGTCCACAGCCAGAGCAGAATGTCTACTTGCCTCCATACAACCCCTAAGGGGTATTTTCAGCTCGTCGTGTCATCTTACGTCTTCTACGGATGGGCAATATTCAGGAGTTGGTGCCAAGATCCGACTGACTCGAAAGGCTGGCCTTCGTGGCTCAATTAGGCAATTAGTCTTGTGACCTCTAGATGTTCTTGAACGAACGTCGGACTGTCGAACATCATAAAAGGTGACGGCGATCGCTCCCTCGTAGTCTTTCTCTTGATCATACTTCACTCATTCGATACTCAAAGACTCAAGCTTCTTAACATTCCTTGTCTATCATCACAACGACGAAAAGTCACCAAAATTTCTACGTATCTTTCAAAATGCAGTTTTCCGTTGCTATCAGCGCCATCCTTTCGGCCATGGCCGTCCAAACCGCTCTTGCTGCTACCGTATGTATCACAGGATCTCCCAAATTGGTATATCATAACTCACGAATGATAGTGCGACGTCAGCGGGAAGAAAGAGAACTGCTGCTGGGGCAAGGACAACGAATCCTGCCAGAAACAAAACCCCAACAATGAGATCTGGTGTCTTAATGACAAGGCGAACTACTGCAGCAGAGTCATGAAGCAGGGCACTAACACGCCTGTTTCCGCGACTTGCGTAAGCACATTTACGGCTCTCTTTTATTGGCAATATCACTTACTCGTTTCCATCAGGACGCTGATTGCTGCGATACTGTCACCGGCTGGGGAACTGGATGCCCCAAATAGATGTGGGGAGTCCAAACATTCATATCTTTTCAGGCCATCACGGAGTTTGTTTGTAAGGCATCTAGCCCTCTCATTCAGCGTCGACATTAGAATATCCATCATTCATTGGGCCAGGGGAGTCTTGATGCATTTTGTGTACTCTGCTTTCAACTCAATGTACACGCGCATTAGCCCAACTTTGCTACATGCTTCGGCAACACTTGAGAAAGAGGCCACTTTTGACGGCCTGCAAATTCGTTCCCCAAGGAATACGGGTGAAGACGGGGGCTTCATCCTTGACATGAGCTGATCGAAAACTACCAACATCATTGGGGTTGTCGAGAAAACAAGTCTGCAACGTCGGCTTAGCCTTGCGGTTCTACTTCAAGCGCGGCACGCTGTACTTGAGCATGATGAGAGGATCCAGTGTCCACCTACCGTCGTCAAAAGACTTAACGCTGTTTCTTTACCCCATGTAAGCACAGCAAAATCTTGACGTCTGCCAAGATTCGGAGCTTATTGCCGAGATGGATGCTAGGCACATCGAAGCACCAACAGGCATTAGCGTAGCAAGGCGGATTCACCGGCGAACTTCTGCCTTTCCTGCCTGAGAATTGCAAAAACATAGACCCAATTTTTTCGTCATTCACATGGTGCTTTTTGCAATGGAAATACAGCACAGCGATAGACAGCTCAAGCGCCTTCTGCAGTGCCCGCGGCCGTCGGATCGCTGCCCAGTCTGGTTCCTTTTCCACTTCACACTGGAAAGCCCCAGCTAAATAAGTGACGCAGTAGAGCGGCACAGGAGGCCGCCCATCACAGGCTCCAACATGAGCCTTTATTTAGATATATGAGTGCACGCTCAACCCGATCTAAATTGCTTCACATCACAACTAATTCCAACCAAATCCAACCATAATCTCTCGCTTGCCTACGCCGACGCAGCACGATGAACGTCTCCCCCAGCCGAGACAGCTCCGGGCCCATCGTCCGACTTAGTGTGTCTAATGATTGGCCCGAATTCGAGGTCAAGAATGAGTTCAGCGATACCACGGAAACGTGCTTCGTGCGTCTCGCTGCTCAATTCGCCGCGGGCGAGCTCGATCTTCCTGGATACATGGATGGGGTGCTGTCGCACCTGCAGAAGAACGGCCCGAGACACAAGTGGGATGTGCCCGTCAAGAACGGAATAGCCAATTTCATGGAGCTGGACTTGTTTGCTGGGGCGGTGAAGAGATGGTTCCTGGAGCCGAGCTTTGTTCCGCTGGAAAAGGAAGGTGAATTATGTTCCCATCGGCTTTGATGGCCTCTAGTAGAACCATCATGCGTCGAGATCGAGCTGACGCTATTCTTGGTGTAAAGACATATCTAGCTTTAAAGACCTGGCCATCCTCGCGTGGACGGTCAACGACCCTGCAGGATTCGTTCGCCGCTGCCAGCAAACTGGTCTTGATCCGAAATCTCTCACGCCAGAGCTGGCCGACCTGCTCCTTGTGCTCTGCTACTGCAGGCGTCACATAGCCCTCTTTGCCCACCTCATAAGAACCTGCCCGGATCCTCCTCCGCAGACCACGTTCGACGCCGTGGAGCGCCACGTGCTGCACAACACCCGCGTCGACCCCTACAAGACTCTCTTCCAGCACTCGCCAAAAGCCATCACTAACTCGTCAGATGAGGTCACCCTGTGGACCGAGATCCTCAAATCGCGCTGACTGCATGATCCGATCGACGGAGAGAAGAGCCAGTTCCTGGCTATACAGGTTGGCGCCATGGGCATATATACTAAGGAGACAGACGGAAGTGCGGCCATGGGCACACCGAAAGCGAAGGCTTATCTTATCGCGTTGGCTCAGAGGGGTGTGTATTATGACCTGCCATCGGCCGGGAGGTTCCTCGCGTCGTGTAAGTCGGTTACGCAGGCACGCGAGTTCCTGGCCATATTCCCACCGGAAAAGATGAAGCACGGCCCCGAACCGTCAGCATATGAATCTGGGTCCGTGATTGTAGATATCGCGAACTCGCGGGAGGCGGACGACGAGGTGAGGTTGGCCATTATGGAATTCGCGCTGGATGAGATTGGAGGGATGAATGTGAATGCCACAGTGCCGTCTAATCCATGGGAGTATGATATGCCGGGCTGTCCAAGGTCGCCGCATTTCAATGGTCTACATGTGGCGGCGTCTCGGGGGGATAGGGCCTTTGTTGAGTTGCTTATTCGGCATGGGGCAAGGGTGGAGGAGAAGGAGAGGGTGACGGGCTTTACTGCGGCTGGTTTTGCGATGAAGGAGAGACATACGGAGTTGGCGAGGTGGCTTGAGGGACTGAATGAGTCTTCATGATCTGCTGTAGTATGGTTCGGGAGTTCATCAACTTGTTTGGACGGAATGGCACATCAGACTTGAGACAACCTTACCATGGTTGCTTTACTTCTTGTAGTCCTGAACCGTATCTAATCTGGCAATACTGGTAGCGGATCAGAACGAAGAAGCATTCTCGGACTATGTTATCATATGTAGACTACATACTTGTACATCGACGCCCGCTAATGAGCTCGTGAGGCTTAAACGTGCGTTTCGGTTAGTTAATTTGATCAAAGAGCCAGACTCTCAGGCTGCTTTTGCTTCCAGTTCTTTCTCGCAGATGAACTAGACTTGACAACGTCACCTTGGGGCATGCCAACCCCGTTCAATAAACATTGCTAGGGTATGATTGGTCCGGCTCTGATTTCTTTGGGCGACCGAGCTTCTGGATTTGGCAAGCAGCATCGTCAACCCCACAATCTCCGCACCAGCATCTGTGGGGTTGACGGTTGATCATGCGATCAAGAATGGAGAGAGTTCCCGTGAAGGTCCTAGAGGCTTGGCATGGGTACGGTGCATTCGTCGTGGGGTTTGGCCTCAAGCGCGGATTGGTGCGGCACAGGCCGACGGGAATCCGGAGAAGTTAGCAGCGAGCTTCCGACTTATAATAAATAAAGGCCTCTCCATAGGAACCCAGAGGCCATGCTGGATCTCGCGTGAGAGTTGGACTGCATCGCATACATCCTAAGGGCCAAAGACCGCCAACATGTTGATCACCCGGGGATCAACTCTCCTGGCCGCCGTCATCTCGGCTGGCTTCACCACGGCCTTTGAGAACCCAGTGAGAGAGCCTGCTCCTGATCCGTCACTCGTATTTGCAGGCGGCAACTACCACCTGTGAGTACCTTATCAAGCGTGAATAATCTCAGTTCAGGAGCCTCGGCCGACCTTCAATCACAGCACGTTCACTTCGTACAATAGGATCACCATCGTCCGCTCCGACAAGCTGAGCGACCTCCCCAATGGCGAGCAAAAGACCATCTGGACCGACACAAACACCACCCGCAGCGCCAACATGTGGGCACCCGAGCTTCACCAGATTGACGGCGTCTGGTACATGTTCTACTCCAGCTGCGACGCCAGCCTCTCGTGCTGCGACAGCTGCTCCACGCGCGTTCTGCAAGGCTGCGACGCTGCTGGCCCTTACGATTGCGAGTTCCAGCACCTCGCCGACTTGATCCCACCCGAGGGCTCAAGGGGAGGTCTCGACAACAACTTCGCATTCAGCATCGACGGCACGTTTCTCGAGGTCCCGGGCTTCGGCAGATACCACGTTCTTAGCATCAGAGACAACGAATTTAACCAGGCTCTGGCCATCACTCAGCTTGACACGGACAGCTGGACAGTCGGCGCCTGGCATGTCATTTCTATTCCGGACCAGCCTTGGGAGAGGAACATCACTGGGGCCAACCCGCCGCCTTCAGACGATTTGATCGGCGTCAATGAAGCACCCCACGTAAGTCTCATCTTACGGGACAGTTCTTGAGCGCGTACTGACAGTCGTAGCCCTTGTATCATGGCGATGACATCTGGTTGTGCTACTCCGCTTCCAACTGCGCCACGCCGAACTACTCCTTAGGTCTTCTCCACTGGAACGGCGGCGATCCCCTCCTGAAGAGCTCCTGGGACAAGACAGGACAGGTCTTCTCCCAAGCCAATGGGCTCTATGGCACCGGCCACAACTCCTTCTTTACCTCTCCAGACGGAACCGAGATTTGGGTGAGTCGTACAAACAGAATCGATCATGAATCATCATACTAACGTGCTCGGCAGAACGCTTTCCACGCGACAAGGAACTCGGCAGGATCATGCGGTGGAGATAGATTCACCTCTGCTCAGATCGTCACGTTTGATGACAACGACAACCCCAACTTTGGGGTTCCACAGCCGTTGGGGGAGATCTTGACACCTCCGAGCGGAGAGGCGAACTGAAGAATTGGAGAGTCTCTCAAGACCTAAGTAGAGAGATATTGAGACCGATATTCTACCACTAATACAAAGCAGACGAGTATCCAGAAAGGTCCTTGACAATAACGGCGCTATCTCATTATCGAGCCCACATACATCACACCTCTATCTATGATCATCGCTGCAAATTGTGTAAATATGTTTGGCGTCCCAGCCTCATGCAACATTCTCGCCATCTTTCTCTTGTCTTTATCCCTTCTGGCCATACCCATCATTCAGATGGAACAGCCAGGCCACAGCGGAGGAAACGTACTTCGGGCGTGCGAGCGCGCCGCGATTCTGGACCCCGTTCGCGCTGTCGTGGCATAGAAACTGGCTTCGATGGAAAATGGTGAACGTTGGCATGATTCTCAGATTCAGGTGTGTTGCAGTTCGCTGTCACTTGCGTCTGGCTGTCATGCCTACGCTGTGAACCGCGAAGTAAATGGGATGCTGCCCGTTATAAAAGGAATGTTCCCGATGATTCAAATATCTCTGCACAATTACGTTGTTTCGGTCAATAATGGCATTTGTCACATGGCCAGGATTGTCGCCATGTCATGTTATTAGCTTTGCGCCATTGCCTGACTTCGCCGTCACGATGTGGCGTAGATGCAGGTTGCTCCCTGCTCGGCTTCGTCTACAATCTCTACCTATAGCCATGTATTCCTGTTGAAATGAATCCGGATAAATCCTTAGATCTCTGCTGCGGCTCTCCAGACGCTCGGGAGTATCCCAAGAAGAGCTCCAGAGTACATGTGGTTGGTAGTGACGTCAACGGAGGCGCATCCTACCACACCTGACCAGAGATCTATCGATTGTCAAATTTTGACCTCTAGAAACAGTTTAACTGAATCTCCGTCGTGTAAGCACGTACGGTCTCTAGCGGGATGTCTTGACCGAGCTAATGACATTCCATGTCAGCCAAAGAGGTAGGTATTTAATGGTGAAACGGACTCAGAAAGTTCAGCAGCAATGAGCTCTGAGGTTCTGCAAAACGGATGCAAATGCACTAGTTTCTGCCCGACGCGATTGCTCTCCTGTCATTGCATCTAATTGTTGGTGGGAACATGCTCGACACCATCGCGTCCCGTTGATGGTGGCGTCTTTCATCTGCTGTCATGTATTAGCTGTAGATGCACCGTGAACACTCCCCCAGATGTCGCAACAAGCTACCAGTCTCTGATTAAAGCGTTGATTCTCTCCGGGAGACCTTTCCTCTCCATGTATTTTTTTTTTAGAAAGGATATTCTCCTACTTTCACGGCCCAGAGAACAGACTTCATTGCTGAAAGTATGGTATAGAGAAAGAACCATTAGCTTTATGGCTTTGCTCGTCAGCATGCCATCTGGACGAGTCATCCGCCCGCTTAACGTTCGCATCTCTGTCTGCCCGAATAGGGCTGTATAAGCCTACCTTGGGATGGATTTTGCTCATGTTTTGGAGCATAGTACAAGACAACGGCTACAAAGAGCTCTGCGACGCACCAAACCCCAAGAACACCAGCCACAATTGTATAAGTGCAACCATACACTGGAAACAGAGCTGATGGTCCAGCCGCAGACGCGAGTAATCCTTACGCTCCTCTCAGCCATCCGATGTGAAGTGACGTAGAACCTAGAAGCGGTCACTTCTGTCCATCATCAGTCTGGTATTCGCAAGAACACATTCAGGATGAAGTTTCGTCTCGCTATCTTAATCTCGCTAGTCACACAAGCAAGATCACCCACACAAAGGCGGGCCCTCATAGTCCTTGAACAATCACCAGATCATCATGATCTGGGCAGATTTGCCTTCTATCTATTAACTAGGTCTAAACCCCTCTTTATATACCACTCGCCCTCACTCACGATACAACCCCTCCTCCAAAACCCACCCCCTAACCCTCTCGCCAAGCAACCCCTTCAACCACTGCTCATCCCCCCGTCCCGCCATCTCCCTCACCCGCGAACTACTCACAACCTCTCCCTCCGTCCCGTTCACCAACTCAACCCTCTCCGCCCACTCCCTCTTCCCCCCCACCTCCTCCAACCCGCCCTCCCTCAAACCCTCCAAATACGCACGCTGCTCCCCCTCCCCGCCCCACTCATCGCCAACCCTCAAACTAATCCTCAGTTTCCCCCGTTCCAGAAACGGGCCCAGCGCAGCCTTCATACCCCCCTCCGCCTCGGGGTAATACTTCGGATTAAAGATCCGGATGAGCGTATCATACCCCGCCAGATACACCTGCTCAACCCCTTCCTCGCCATAAAACCCACCACCCTCCACAGCGCGCGCCTTGTCATGGAAAAAAGGCATCGTCGTCACGCCCACATCAACATCCATCCCCTCCTTCGCCCCCTGCGCCAGAAGGTCCTCCGCAAAGGCGCACATCAGCCCCAGCCGCAACGCAAAGGCGACCGGCTTCGGGGCCTTGTCGGCGTTGTTCACGGCCAGGAGGAGCAGCAGCCGCGCGCCGGCGCCGGCTTGGAGCGCGGAAGTGGCCATGCGCAGGTGCGCCAGCGTGGGCGGGTTGAAGCTCGAGTCCAGCACGACGAGGCGCTTCACGGGCTGCTGCGGCCGGCGCGGGGACGGGGACGGGGCGGCATTTTCGCGGTGGTGCGGGAGGGTGCAGAGGACCCTGAAGGCGTCTTGGGACGATTGAAACGACGATAGGGAGCGGGAGAGAAACTCGACAAGCGCTTTGCGAGACATTTTGGTGAGAGTGGGATGGGATGGGTGGTGGTGGTTGATGAAGTGAGCACGACGCGTGCATGTCACTGCATGGGCGGAATTTACCCCGCTACGTGGGGGTCGGGTGTGGGTGGGGTGCATCGCGCCAGGGGTTCGCAAGGTAGAAGAAGTAGCATAAGTGTAGGTTATATGATCCGTGGAACGTGTTGATATCAACATTGACAGGTATCGTACACGAACAAGTTTACATCCATTTTGTGAAGAATTCTTTTGTGAATACTTATATAACCAGGGATATATAAGAGGTGCCCCTTACTCCAACCACCCCTTATATGTCCAACTACCCTTATTAAAGTAAACCGGTTGAACTATCCAAAGCAAGAGAGCCTGTTAGCGGAACTCAAGGCAGCACTGTAGCTCGATAGGGCAGTAGTTGATGAGGGTGGTTTACTAGATAAATAGGGGGTGGTTAGAGTAAGGGGGACCTCTCATGTATCCCTAGTCATATAAGTATTCACAAAAGAATTCTTCACAAAATGAACCAAACATTTACCACCTTCAATCCCTCTTTTGCGACTTAGCAAGCATGCTCGAGGTGGCCAGTCCAAACGCGAAGAAAATACCAATGCCGAGGAAGTTGAGCACGGCATTGATCCATGGCGGGACCCTCTGCCTGTCCGCCAAGTCATCGAGAATTTTGTCGATCCTCTCGGCCATCTTCTCCTGCCCGAAGCCGACGCGCACCCTCTGCACGCCGTCCGCGCCCATCTTTTCCAGCTCCTTCTTGCTCATCTTGTTCAGCACCGTGTCCATGACCTTGGTCCACTCCTCCACCTGGTCCGGCTCCCGCAGCCAGCCGGTAGTGCCATCCATGACCGTCTCCGTCGGGCCGCCCGTGTTCGCCGCCAGCACCGGGACGCCGGCCAACATTGCCTCGAGGGGCACGATGCCAAAGTGCTCGTTGGAGGGCGTGTATACCAGCAGCTTGGCCGACTTGAGCAGACTGTCCTTCAAGCTCGAGGGGATCGACAGCAGGAACAAAACGGGGATGTCCGCGGGCGCGGAGAGCGCCGTGATGATGTTCTTGGCCGTGAACGACTCGAGCCCCAGGTCCTTGGCCAGCGTCTCCAGCTCCTTGTGGTAGTAGAAGTTCTCGGCGCTGCGCAGATCGTACCCGCCAGCGACGACCAGCCGCGTGCCCTTCCTCTTCTCCTTGGGCAGCGCCGCGAACGCCTTGACGGCCAACGCAATGTCCTTCTTGCGCTCGAAGCGGTTGATGCTCAGGATGATGTTCCTGTCGGTCCAAACGGGCTCTTCTGTCGAAACGGTCTCGCTCTTCTTGGGGTCGATGTCGACGCAGGGGTAGACGACCTTGAAGTTCTTCTTCTTGGCGAGGGCGGGCCAGGCGCGGGTGGCGACGCCCTTGGTGAAGCCCGAGTTGACGGCGATCTCGTCGGCGAAGCCCATGCTCCACTGCTCGACCCAGTCGAAGGGGACGCGATAGAGGCGCTTCCACCAGCGCTCGCGGCCGAGGGCGAGGTACATGTCGGGGAAGTGGCAGTAGAAGAGGATGGGCGCCTTGGGGACGAGGTATTGCAGGAGGGGCAGGCCGGCAGAAAGCTGGTCGACGAAGAAGAAGTCCGGGTCCAGGGACTGGAGCTCGCGGGAGAAGTAGATGTGGAGGAGGAGGGTTATCTGGCGGGCGATGGCGCAGAGGATGGTGAGGCGGCCGAGGATCGATTGGGGGAGCCAGTCGCCGTGGACGCGGACGTCAAGGGTTCCTGCGAGGCGAGAGTGTCAGCTGAGGCTTCTTCGTAGCGGCGGCATTGTGAACGAGGGAGTGCGGTACCATCTCGAGCTTCCTCAAAGCAGTGGCCCTTGTCGCAGTGGCTCGTAAAGATGACGACCTTGCAGCCGCGGTTCTGGAGTCCAACAGCTGCATCGACGACGAGGCGCTCTGCACCACCGATGCCCAGGTCGGGATGGAAAAAGACCACCGTCTTTTTGCCGTCGTCTTTCTCCGCCATGGTTGCGGTCGCTGTGTGCGTTGTGGTGGTGGTGTGGTGTGCAGACAGACAGCTGATCTGCCTCCTTCCGAGAGGACAGAAATGCGACTTGAGACGAGTCGCAAGCAAGTGGGACGAATTGACCTGGTCGGAAGGAGCTCCCCTCTGGGTCGTCTGTGATTGGTTGCTGCGAGTGGAATAGCTCCTTACATAAGAAACGCCCAGGTCCGGGGTCGAGTCGAGGCGGCATCTGGGGTGCGTCAGAAGCGCTGCAGACTGGCGGCTAGTCTTGATTCTCAGGCCTTCACATGTGAAAGCCCATCTCCAGACTGATCCCGCGTGAGCAGGCCAGAAAGCCAAAAAATAATGGCAGCCACCTTCATTGGAGGATTAGCGCCTGTGCGTGTGAACCAGACACCTTTAAGGTCGGTGTGTCAGCCAGACTGCCGCCGTGCATTGCGCCGTGATTAGTCGATACCTCCTTTCCCTTTCGCATTCCGTTTCCCGAACCGAGGTCACCGTCGCTTACAAGTAAGACTGACTGACCATCCTCATTCAGCCGCCTTGGTGACCTACTACCTATCTACAGATCCATCTTTCAAGCTTCATCTTGGATATCTCATCTCAAACAGCTGTATCCTTGAGCTGTCATCTGAACTATCCAGACATCTCAACTCAATTCGAAGCTCCCAGCCTATCCGTCTCATCACTCTCCTCAACTCTCATCCTTGCCAAAAGACACCATCATCACCAAAACACCACCGCCAAAATGTCATCACCAACCCCCCTCTTCACAATCCCCATCCCCAAACTCGACTCCCACCCCGGCGGCACCATAACCTGCACCACCCCCTCCCCGCTCGTCTACCTCCTCACCTGGTCCTCCCCTCCCGACAACCGCCTCACGACCCCCTTCTGCCGCGCCTTCCTCGCCGCCCTCGACATCATCGAGTTCTCCCACCCGCCCGGCGTCCTCCTCACCACCTCCGCCATCCCAAAGTTCTACTCCAACGGCCTCGACCTCGAACACGCCTTCGCCACGCCGGGCTTCTTCCCCGACCCCCTCTACAAGATGTGGAAGCGCCTGCTCACCTACCCCATGCCCACCGTCGCCCTGCTCCCCGGCCACGGCTTCGCCGGCGGCTTCATGACCGCCATGCACCACGACTACCGCGTCATGAACCCGAACAAGGGCTTCCTCTGCATGAACGAGCTCGAGTTCGGCGCCCCGCTGAAGCCCCCTATGAGCGGCATCTTCCGCATCAAGTGCTCGCCGCGGGTCTACCAGGAGATCGTCCTCGAGGCGAAGCGCTTCGGCGGGCCCGCGGCGCTCGAGGCCGGGCTGGTCGACGTGCTCGGCGGGATGGACGAGGCGCTGAAGCTCATCGCCGACAAGAAGCTGACCGAGAAGGCCAAGTCCGGGGTCTATGGCGTCTTGAAGGCGGAAATGTGGCGGGAGAGCGCGTTTTATCTGAGTAAAGAGGAGTACGATGGCGAGGAGGCGCGGTGGGATGCGAGGGAGGCGCTTGAGAAGAAGAGAATCGAGGAGGGCAAGAAGTTTGCCGCGGACTGGAAGGCCGGCAAGGCCAAGCTGTGAGCTACCTTTATGATGATTTTAGACGACTTCACGCAAGCAATAGACAGGACAAATGGTTCAAAAAGCAACGCTACAAGGATCGTGTATTGTATGTATGTAAAAGACGCTGTTTTGACTGCCTTCCCAATCGGTCAGGGGGGTATCATGGACGTCCATAAAACACCAAAAAAATGCAACGCGGCCTCTCCTGCGAACTGCTCCCTCCCGCCTCTACTGCGCTTCCTCAGCCGGCGCATCGCCCGTGGCTGCCGCTTCTCCTTCTGCTCCTTCTACGCTGACAACAGCCTCTCCATTGCCGTCGCCGATATCCTCCGCGTTTCCGTTTCCGTTGGCCCTGTTGGCCCTTTTTGCCCTCTTAAGCTCGTTCGCTTCTTCTCTCTGCCTGGAAAGCCTCAGCTCAGCCTGGATCGCCTTCTCCCTCCGAGCCTCCACATCCTCGCGCTTGACCAGTTTCCTAAGACCGTCCGACGCCTTGATCATGTTATCGATACTGATAGCGTGGTTCGTCATCTGCCCGTTAATGTATGAGTACACAGCCACCGACGTCTCGCACTGTAGAAGCTGCGACTCGTTAAGCTTGAAGAGCGCCAACGCGACTTGGAACAGAAACGTGCTACCGTCGTTCATGCAGAGCACCACGTCCCACACGCGAAACAAAGCCTCGGCGGAAAGGCATCTCGTAAACACACTGAGGAACCATCCTAAGGTCAAGGCCTCGAGCTCGATGCTCAGCTCATCGAAGTGCTGGGAGAGCTTTGGAAGCACCTCGGCGACATACTCCCGCAGAACAAGCTGGTCAGCACGAGAAGATCGAAGGCTGTGGTCATAGTAGCCAGCTGGCAGGATCTTCTCGATAATGCTCGACAGAATCCAAAAGGCGTCTTCTGCCGAAGGCATGATCAGCAGCAGGTTGGCCGCAATGGCATTCATGCCCTGGCAGTAGCCAACTTCAGGATTGCGGCGAGCGTACGCCAACAGGACTTCGTTCAGCTTTGTGACACCTGGCCCCTTGCGGAAGAAGATATTGTCGGTCAGCGTTCGATTGATGTCCGCCTGGATCTGCGAGACCACTATAGGATCGTCCGCTTCGTCGAGGCGGGCAATGGTGTCCTGGTAATAACCTGGGATCCGGAGTGTTGTGGCACCCGAGCATTCAGACCACACCTTTGCACGCAGATTGACGGGGATGCCGCCGAGCACCAGGTTCCTGAGCTCCGTACGCTTGGCGCGGCCGACTTTGCCCTTGATTCCGAGGCCGGTAATACCAATCAGTTCGCCGTCAGCCAGAGCTGCCTCGGGCAGGTTAACGGCAGGTCGCTCATACCGAGCCTCAGCTGCGGCCGCTGCAGCGGCTGCCGCCGCCTCGCCATCCCGCCGCCGCTCGGCCCTAACCTTGCGCAGGAACTCATTCCAGCGGGCTGCCTTGTCTCGCTGCAAAGAATCATGCAACTCCCCCATGTGCTGGAGAAGCAGCTTCACCGGCTCGGTGTCGTCTCTAACAACAGTCCCCGCAGCTGCATCGTTCTCAGCGGGCAGCGTTGCCTCGCTCTCGGTGACTGAAATTGTAGCGCTAGCGATGGGAACGAAGCCGCGCTCGTCAGCCGTAATGAGACCGGGAGACTTCATGCCAAGCTCCCCTCCCTCGAGCACCTCCAGAGACGGCGCGCTGAGTGCGGGGGTGTGAGACAACAGCTCCGTCGGGAATGTCGCTAACTTGAGGTAATCTTGCCACTTCTTGGGCTTGCCTTCGCTCGAGCGTTCCTCGGCGGAAGAAGGGCTGTCGGGTCGCTCCTCGCTGCCTCCGGGACTCGGAACTTGCTCTTCTTCAATCATCGACGGGGACAAATCCGAGCGTCCATTAGACAGCATCTCGGCTCGCCCTCCTAACTTATAACGGCGAGCCATCTGCGCCGCTTCACGCTGTCTCTTCTTCCTGCGCTGGTCGTAGATAAACCCGAAACGGTCGGTAAGATACTCGCTACCGACATAGTTGTTGTAAATGTGTGTCAAGGTTGGAGGTTGCGTCTCGGGCGGGAGAATCGCATCCATTTCGACGGGACCATAGCTCTCCTGCCTGGGCGTGGCGCTCGTAGGGCTGCCCGTCATGGTGTCCCATCTCTCCTGAGGCTGCGTCCGCGCTGTAGTTGCCCCGGGAGGAGGATTGTTCACAGGTCCTGTTCGGCGCATGGCCATGAGTGCCTTGGGACCGCCCTGGGTAGAGACCACCCTGCTCGACTGAGTCGTCTTTGCACTAGATGTAGACGATGCTCGAATGGTCGACTGCGGCTGAGTAGCACTATTAGATCTGCCGCGGTTGGGGCCAACCTCGCGCGTATTGATGGCGCCTCCAGCGACCAGTCTCATAAGGCTGGCGGCGACTGAGGTGGACGCCTTACGAGACCCAGGTGGGCCGGACTGGATGCTAGACGCCCGACTCGGGGTTCTGGGCGGAACATTCTCGGGCGCAACGCTCTCCGGCGGCGGGCTGAACAGGTCATCCTGCAGGCCTGGCCGCCTGTCACCGTACGACTGTGCTCTGAGAACCGCGGCGGGTTTTGTGTCGTCTCCGTTGACGCTGTTGGGTCCGCTGTTCTTCCTGCTCGTGCCGCCCCAGAGAAAGTCCTTCCAGCCCCTCGTCGTACCTCGGCCATCAGTGTTGGAGGGGATAGAGAGGTTGCTGGCGCGGACGGTTGCTTCGTTGTCGGTCTGGCCAAATACGTTGTAAATGACGGTGTCCTGCATGGCGTCGCTCATCAGATCCGAGAGGCCGCTCTCGTTGCGACGGTTGCCCGGGCGGGAAGTCTTGACATCGCTCTCGATGGCCCGCAATCTCGTCTCGAGGTCCAGGTTGGACAGCCCACATTCCAGAATCATCTTCCGCAGGGCCCTCTCCCTCTCATCGGCTTTCCTCCTCAGCTGGGCGATCTGAGCGTCGCGCTGTGCCAGGTCGGTCGCGAACTGCCTGATGAGGGGCACGGCGCCGTCTCTGGCAATCAGTCGGTGTATGTGTTCGTCGTTGGCATGGTGCAGGGCGCCAGGTATCTTGTGCGTAGAGATGGGCGAGTCTTCGAACAGCGCATCGCGAGCAGCCTGTTCAGCAGCGGAGGTGCTCCCGGTGAGGTTGCCCAGCAGAGAGAAGGCGTTGGACCTGGCGTCAGAGATCTTGCGGACGGTCGCCGGGGGCTCGGGCTCTGGGTCGGGGGTGACGGGGTCGGGAGGGAAGGAGGTGTCTCCCCTTGGCGAGTCGGGCGAGAAGGAGGGGAAGCTCGTCAGAGACTTGTCTTCGGAGGCGGCAACAGAGCTGGCGGAGCTCGAGGGCTGGGAGTTGAGCTTCGATCGTTTGCCGCGGACGGTAGAGGAGCGGGCACTCCTCATGGACGTTGCGCTCTGCTGGGAGATGGAGCGCGCAAGGGGAACTGAAGGCTCTGAGTCCATGGCTGGTGTTGGTTTTGGCGGGTGATGACACCAAACGTCATGGTTTCAAGAACAGTCGAGGGTTGGCTGTGCGAGCCAGCTGGAGCAACGGCGAGAGATGCTCAGAGTTGTTTCGTGGGAGGATGTTATGCCATGCGGTGAAGGATGCGGTAGTTGTGTTTGTGAGTAAAGCAGCTGCTGGTGTGTTCGTGGGTGGTGCAGAGCAGGACAGGTGGAATAAGGGGAAGTTGACGTCGAGGAATGACAGACGCTAGAGGTCGAGGTAATAATGATAGCAACACAAGAAACGGGATGGGTTGGTTGGATGGCGCACAAAATGGCAGGCGGGACAAACACTTGGACACACACCCGTGGACTGGACACCCAGGTGCCAGAGCAGAGCGCGATGACGGTTTATGCAGTCAGGGATCCGGGACATGCCTGCCCGACACCTCACCTTGTCCTCAGTCCTCCTCAGTCAATGACCACCAGTCGCTGCAGTCAGTGGCTGCCCAGTGGAGGTGACTTTTTGGTGGAGGTGCACTGGTGAGGGGGACCTTTACGGGTCTCTCTCTGATCATTCTCTGGGGTGCCATCCATTGCTTTTGTTGTGCTGTGCAGCGCGTCTTGTGCGGGCAGGTCGAGGGGTGCGACAGGCCTGGCAGCTTCCATTTGGATTCCACGGCGTCCCAAGTACAGGTACTTGATCTAGCTAAACATGCACCAGTTTTTGGCTGTGTTTCGGCCCATGTCCATGTACCGCAACAATCCCCTCTGATGCGCGATCACGATTACCTCAGGCGCCTCAGCTGCAGCCCAGTGCCCACTACCGCGTAGGACAATCCACTCCCACCTCAGCCCGGCCGACGATTCCACTAGGGACCCTCTCCATCAATGCCTTATTACGGGCCGAAGCAGGAGGCAAATGTTGTGCATGCGCCCAAAATCCCGACTTTGAGCTTCTGCTCCTTTTCTTCTGGTTTCGATGGCTGAGATGGATACATATCATGGTAAGTAAACTCCGGACGGTACACCAATGCATGTAAACACCTGCTTCATCCATCTATTACTCACCATCGTGAACACGTCAAGCATAACAAATAAAGGAAATAAGGAGGGTCTAGTGCCACATCACTAGCAGTTGGAAAAAGCTTCGGCCGGGCTGCTACCTACCTATTGCTAACAAGCCCACAACACAAGCAACGCGCAACCTGGGAATACAAGGGACACACTCCCTCTGACACGGTACCTTACCCTTCGGGATGCAAATCAGGGCTCTTAAATAACGTGCCAACCCGCCCTCTAACCCCTTCCTCCATCTCGGCCGGGTCCCCCGTCCTCGACAATCACCGCCAGCGCAGCCCTGCCATGCCTCTGCGTACCCAACAACCCCCCGGCCTCCAAGGGAATTCCCTGAGTCTCATCGTCCCCGACTCCCAGTCTCACGCTCAGACGAGCACCAAAACGCAAAGAACGAAGCCCTAGGATGGCCACGAGAAATCGAAGACGCGTCGTCTCGTCCCCCCCTCTCCTAATAATACAGCCTCAATATCGAGAGCCCTACCAACTTTGGACTCACACACCAA